GCTGATGTTTCCACTGCATCATCTCTAGTTCCAAATTTTTTGTCTTGGAACCAACTGTGGCAGTAGGAATATCATCTACCATTTTATCACTACCTTCTAAAACTTCACTATAAAACTCCTGGAATGTTCCTTCGATGTAATCCACAATCTGAAAATCGAATACGAACAAAAAAAAAAAAACACATGATGAAAACTCACAATTCTTGACTGTTTTATCTCAAAGGAATATTATCCTTATACCTGCACATGTCATGGTTCAATTAGAAGTAGCAGTAAGTTGGCATAGTAACCACATTACCCCTCTGAGTGCCGAAGTCAACTTCAGGCACCATCCACAAAAGGGTTTTATTTATAGTCCGCTCTTTTCCACAGAAAATGTTAATAATAATCTTTTGATAAAAAACTCGAAGAAATGTCACATTTTGTCTAGTCCAAAATTAAGATTGAAAATCACAGAAAATGCGAACAAATCAACCCCAATTTGAATTGGAAAACAATTTTGGTTAACATTTGTTGAAGATCAGTTAAATTTACGGATTAAAACTCTTTGTATCACTGATAGAAGTGTATGTAAACCAACATTTACATGTATGACACACCATTGTAATTTACTGTAAAATACAATATTTGCGTTTGGAATTAATTTTCGCTGAAGGCATGATTCAGTGAAAATAAAATCCAGCGAATATACCTTTTTTCCTATATTTTACATTCAACTCGTCAAAAATCAGTGAAAATAAATTCCATACAAAACATCCAAAATGTCTTCTCAGCAAAAATTAATTCCAGCTAAAATAAAGTATTTTACAGTATGTAAATCTAATGGAGCAAATACGGTATTATTGCAACAGACACACAGATGTAATTTTATATAATACATATAAAAGATATGCACTACTAATAGAATAATTGTAAGTCAAAAAAAAACAATGTTTTTATTTATAGAAGAAATTTTTTTTATTATCAACAAAGTGTACTGTAAACCAACAGATCAGCTCTTACCTTGTCTGTGTATTTTTTGAAGTCTGTCTTTTTCTTTGCTGTACTTTGTTGATGGAGCAGTCCATCCTTTGCACTAACAGGACCATCAGATTCTAAACTTGTAACCTCATCAACAGACTTTTGAGCAGCTTTTTCTGCTAGTCGTGCAGAAAATTTGACCGGGGATGTCTTGGTTGTATTGTTACTGCTATTTGCAGCAACTTTTATATTGTGAGGATTATTATCAATTTTTGGAGCACTATTCACAGATTGATGTTGTACCGTTTCTTTCTTATTTTTATTTTGTGTTTCTGTTATTTGCACATCCAAGTGATTTTTCTCTTCATTTTTGCTTTTATTTTCGTTCTTTTTGTCAGGTGACTTGGTCATGTGATCATCCAACTTGGCAATCTTTGATTTTTTCACTTCATCAATGGATGGCGAGTCAATCTTCTTGACCTTCCTGTCAACATTTTCAGATTCAGGTGACTCATCGACTTTGACATCAACTGATTCTATTTTTTTTGTAGTATCTTCATCACTTGGTTGCTTGGATACCACTTCATGGTTACCTTCCTTTGCTTTGTTTGATTCCTCCTCCTCCTCTCTTTCCTCCCCTTGCTCCTCATGTTCCCAGTCTGAATTTTCAGAACTAGTCTCACAATGCATTGATAGACAATCGGAGTCAGAATCGCGATCCTCGGTTTCCATCTCATCCAAATTGTCAGTTTCTTTGATTCCCAAAGACGCTTTACAAGATTCTATCGTTCTATCAAGGTGAATAGCAAACTTATCAGACACAGGAGTCAGTTTCATTGGTGGTGTTCCCGGCGTTTCTATTCTTGGTGGTGTAGTAGCTCCTTCTAAATTTGATAAACTTGGCAGTTTTGTCGGCAGGATCGACGGTGCTGGTTCTTTTGACGAATTTTTGGAGGACTCCTTAATATGCTTAGATTCTGACAACTGTTTTTCATTCTCAGTCTCTGGCACAGCCGAGGTATCCATATTAGCTTCATCTGCTAATTTATTAACATCTTTAGATGTTGTGTCTGTACCAGATGTTTTTAATGATAAGACTTTCGTGATGTGTGCATCATCCACTGTTGGTACATCATTACTCATTTCCATCTTGCTCCTGGAAACTGTTTTTGTTGAGACATCAACAGATTCCAAATTAGATTTTCGACTATTAGGAGATTTTTCAGTTGTACTATCAGGTGAACATTCAGTCTTAATTTCGGTTGACTTTGCATTCCCGGCTGCAAGTTGAGGAGATTTCTTGCAAACTTCATCTTTTGATTTTGAGTTCTTCATGATCGACTCACCAACATTATCTTTAGAATCCTCATCAATCGATTTATCCTTTACACCACCCAAATTCGAAGACCCACTTTCCAGCGTAAGAGTTGATTTTCCAGATTCTCTTTTAATCCTTATTTTAATTTTGCCAACTTTAGGCGTACTTGCATCATTGCTTTCACCATTAATTGAGTTAGGTTTGTTTTTGAGATAGTTATGTATGTACGTGTTACTTGGATCATAAGGCATTCTATATGGTGCATACTCCCAATTTTTGTGAACACGGCGAATATTTTCTATGTGCAGGTCCATTTCTTGCATAGCATTTTCAAATCCACCTTTTCGTTTCTTAATTGCGAATGGAATATCTTTTGACATCATGTAACAGCAGTTAGCAGGAACCCATGCCCTGGTGATAAGACAAGAAAACAGTCATTAATGTCAATGCACCAAATTCGTTTGTGTAATCGTTCAGCGCAACACATATTCAAATCTGCAGAAGATTTGGCCGAAAAGTATGACGGATGATTTTTCTGTGTAACGGCACATAAATAATATATTGCCATATTTATAGCGTTGCATTTTAAAGCGGGAGGGTTGTCACCTGGGCACACGTGGGCATCCAGTCCTAAGCGACAATATCAACACACGCTGAAACGCAGAGGCTCATGGGTAGACACTTGTTTGTAAACAATGACACGCTATGGTTATTTGACACATGCAAACGGTGACAACTCCCCCACCTTAACTTCAAAAACATTTGCCCATGTTTTTCAATTTTTTTTTTATTACAATACTGATACAGAAGAAATGGATGACGACATGAACATGCAATTTTAAATTACTCTGTCTTTGGGCAGAGTGATAAAGAACTAACATGATCAGGACAAAAAAAAATATGCCAGCAAATACTGCAAAAGAAAAGCACATACACAAAATTTGATTTGTATCCCTAATGAGTTGTAAAAATAAGTTACCTATCATGCTGTCCGAAAAATCGTACATCAACTTGCCCATCCACTTCTCTTAATGCCTAGGAAATAAAAAAAAATCAATTGTATCCATGTAACTATGTGTGATATGCGAGTAACTTGTATGATGTCATACCTTAGCAGACCAGAATGGCATGTAGCTATGTGTGATAGGTGAGTAACTTGTATGATGTCATACCTTAGCAAACCAGAATGGCATGCAGCTATGTGTGATAGGTGAGTAACTTGTATGATGTCTT